CTAATGAATATCCATACCTAAATATTTGTTATTTTTAGGATTATTTTCCTTTTTAAAAAATGATTTATTTATTATGTATACAGTGTTCTGTCTGCATGTATCCTCTCAAGCCAGAGAGGGCACCAGATCTCATTACAGATGCTTGTGAGCCACCATGTGGTTGCTGGGAATTGAACTCAGTACCTCTAGAAGAGCAGCCAGTGCTTTTAACCTCTGATCCATATCTCCAGCCCTTGATTATTTTCTTAAGGCATGTTTGTCTATGAGGAATTAAAAGCTCAAAAATATCAACTTTTTAGGTGATTTTGGTACATACTACTAGTAACTTAGAGGTATTTTTATTATCGGTATGAGAGTCATTATCATTTCATCACTGATGGTACTAAATAGTATTTATATTAAAATAAACCTTCCTTAATCACAGTGAAACTAGAATCTCAAAATTATTTTCTATGATTTCTAGTGAGCTTCAAGATTTTAAGATGTAAACTTGATTTTGTTTTTCTCTAGGAAACTAATTATTTTGTTCCCTAACTCATTTATGAAGTTATCTGGACCTGATCTTAAGAAAATAACCCTTTCTTTCATGGAGTTGATTTGCGTCAGACATTTGGTCATAGCAATGAGCGAGGTAACTAACAGTGCCCGTGCATCCAGACTCATCCCATGTCAAGTAACTAACACAGCGCCCGTGTGTCCGGACTCTTCCTGTCTTGCAGCCACGTGTCAGAAGATGACTGAGCAGTTCCGATTTCATTTTCTGACAGTCTCCAACCAGACTTGTTCAGCTGGTTTGACTTGTGAAGGGAGAGAGAGAGAAAGGGACACTGTTTCCTAAGAATCCTCCCTTCTCTGATCCAATCCTCCCTTCTGAGTTTGTACAAACTGTGCTTGAATCAGTCCAAGGACTGACAGGAGCTCCTCTCTAGAGGAGGAAAACCGGCTTCAACCTGGTAAGTGCTGATGGGGATGAAGGAGTGAGTAAAGAGAGAAGGTTGTGTGGTCACTAGTCATTCAGGCTGGTTATGAAATGAGTTGACCAGTTTATTCCTATTAAGGAAGCATTCCTTCCTTAAGTTCTCCCTAAGAGAATTAGTGGGGAGCTCATGAGAGTGTGTTAGGGTAAAGGCTTGGTCTCTTTGTTGAGGTTTGGTGTTGGAGACATAATTGAAAATGGTCACATGAGGACTTGTGCATGATCAGTGACAATTCTTGTCTTATTATAGTCATATCATCCAAAATTCAGTTCCTTGTCATTGGAAATACTGTTCTTTGCTGTAAAGAAAGTGATGTAAGGAGATTACTCTTATTTAAAGTTTTCTGCAAAGTGTTGTAACACCTGTTGACATATGCAAGTTAAGAAGTATCTACAGTCAAGATTTTGATTTCCAATCACACATCTATGTCTCAAACATAGATTTTTTTCTCTATGACATTTTATCTCTATGACAGTTTCTACTGCCATGCGCTGGTTTGTATGACTGTTTCAATCTTTCCCAAGCTCTCAAAATCAAGGTGCTGAGGTATGAATTTATTTTCTTTCTCCACTTGGAAATGGCACTCATGGAAAGGTCACCACCTCCATTGTGTTGCCCAATCTAGAAACTCTGAACTCCTCTGTCTTTCTCATGACCCACATAGAACCTGTTATTATTATCTTTGATTCTCTGGCCATCTTGAGTCATCATCCAATTGTAAGTTTCGAATATCTCTTATTTGAACTTTGCTGTGAACAGCTTCAGAAGTAAATCACACTCTTTGCTGTTGGGAATTTTATACTTAGGAATTTTTTTTTATTATTACAAATCTACTTAGGTCACTCTTTGCCTGAATTATGTTATCTTTTACTCATTTGTGGTACAGTTGGCCTTATGGATTCATGGATCCAGTAGCTTTGGAATTAACTGACCATTGACTGATCATATTCAGAAAAGGGCTTAGGGAGATGACTCAGCAGGTACAGCATTTGCCCAGCAGTGTGAGGGTCAGACTTCTAATCCCCAGAAACCACGTAAAGCCCAGTGGGCAAGGTGCCCACCTGTAACCTCAGCATGTAGGAGGTATAGATAGGGGATTTCTGGGGCAAGCTGGCTAGCCAGACTAGCTGAAATGGGGAGCTCTAGGGTCGACAAGAGACTTTGTATCAATATAGAAGATGGAGAGTGATTGACAGAGTCACTCAATGATAACCAAAGGCCTTCATATGCACCCATGTATGTACATCCGTGCAAATGTGTGTCTATACACATCCAAGCATGAATACATACATACATGTACACACCACATAGACATACATACATATGCCAAAAAAGAAAGTATTTACAGGCTGGAGAATAAGCTTAGCAGTTAAGAGCATTTGATGCTCTTCCAAAGGACTCTAGTTCAGTTCCCAGCACCCACAATGGTGGCTCACAATCACCTGTAACTCAGTTTCTAGAGGACCTGGCCTCTTTTGGCACCCATATGTGGCACATGCACAGACTTGTATTAAATAAAAATGAAAACTATTTTAGAAAGAAAATATTCAGAAGCCTTGCATCTGAATAAAACATGTTCAGACTCTGTTTTGCACGGGCGGGTGTTCTGCAACAACTGTGTATGTGGTTTGTTTACTGCTATGTTTTGAATGTGAAATGTCCCCTGCCCCCAGGTTAAGCTGAATGTGTGGGCTCCTGCTACTGTCACTATTCTGTGATTCCTATGAGGGCCATAGCTAGAGGAAATATTAAGGTAGGGGCATGAACTTGGGACTCCATGTCCCCTCCTTATATGGCTCTCTGCTTCTTGCTTGCTAAGAAGTCAACCATTGTCTCCCCCATGTTTTCCTGTCACCATGATGTTCAGTCAAAATGCACAGGGCTAAAACAACTGTGAACTGAGCCTTCGGGAACCCTGTGTCCAAATAAATCTCTCCTCCATTAAGAAGTCAGCTATTGTTTTACTGCAGCTTAAAACTATTACTGATACAATATCATTTTAAGTATTCTAGAAACAATTTAAATGATGCAGGAGGGGTGTGGTCATATGCAAAGACACTTGAACATCTGCAGATTTTTATTATCAGCCTAGAAGTACCCAGCTATGTAGAGTATGACTGTATGCATGGACAATATCTTCTATAGCAGTTAATATATTGTGGGAAAATACATAACATGAGCTCTGCCTTCAACAGGTTTTAAAACCTACAAAAATGTATAGGTCCAAACCTTGCTAGCAAATCTGCAGTTTTTTTTCTTTCTGTGCAAATGATACATTAAGCTGATTGACTAACTAAGTTCCCTTCCTCTCTTCTCCAATAGAGGGCATCCTTGCACTCTCTCTGGGTCATGGAGTATTTGAGATAATTCATATAAATAGATCTGTGGGTGTTTACCCTTGAATGACATATACTTCAGCATCCTTAAGATTTATTAAATTACTTCATTTTGTAAACTTTCTTTCCTTTTAAGGCTGATAATAGTTCACAGTAAGATATCACATTTTCCTCATCCTGTTGATGGACATTTAGAGTGTTTCTACATTTGGGTTTTTGTGACTAGCGCTGCAATGAACATGAGTGTGTTATTGTGTTGTTTTCAGGTTTTTTTTTTTTTTGGTTTTTTTGAGACAGGGTTTCTCTGTGTAGCCCTGGCTGACCTGGAACTTGCTCTGTAGACCAGGCTGATCTCCAACTCATAGAGATCCACCTGTCTCTGCTTCCTGAGTGCTGGGATTTAAGATGTGTACCACCACTGCTTGGCTAATCTTTGTTTTTTCAATACTATTAAGTTTTTCAGAAATCTTGTCTATTTCTTTCAAGGAGATAACATTTTACATTCCCACAGTGTACAGGGTTCTATTTTTTTAAACATTAATACTGATATTTATTGCCTTTATACATTTTGGTAATAGCATCCTGACAGATCTATGTCATCGTGATTATGGTTAGCATTGTTATGGCAAGTTATGACATTGTGTTTTCATTGTCTTATTGGTTATCTGTATTTCTTTTTGGTGGTACTGGGTCTTGAACTCAGGCCCTCCTGCATGCCAGGGAAGGATTCTAATCCACTCTGCAAGGAATTGATTGCATTTCTTATTTAGAGAAATGCCTATCCAAGTCATTAGCACACTTACTTTTTTGGTATTTATTATTACTTTAAGTTTAAAAAAATTACATGGAATAATGGGTTTCTTTATGACATCCTCACACAGTGTATATTTTGTTCATGTTCACCCTATTACTTTTTCGAGTTCTCCTGACCCATCATCTCCATAACCTCTCTCTCCCTGAAATTGCCTCATTCTGATTTAATATTTTATACATACATATTTTATGTGTATATATGTATATATTTATATGTATAAATACACACATACATGTATATACACTTATACTATTTATGTATACATGTATATATATAATGTAGTATGTGTGTATGAGAGAAGCATGCAATATCTGTATCTCTGTGTTTAGTCTATTTCATGTGGCATGATGGTCTTGAACTTCATTCAGTATATGGTGTAATTTAATAGTTCATGGCTGAATAAAACTTAACTAAGCATGTATACCACATTTTCTCCATTCATCATTTAAAATTATCTATTTTTATGTGTGTGGCTATTTTGCCTGCATATATGTATACCTGGTGCCTTAGGAGGTCAGAAGAGGTCATAGGATCCCAAGGACCTGGAGTTACAGATGATTGTGAGACAACATGTAAGTTGTGGGAATTGAACCTGGGCCCTCTGGAAGAGCAGACAGTGCTGTTAACCTATGAGCCATCCCTCCAGCCTCTGCCTCCATTCATCTTTTGATGGGCATCTAGGTTGAGTCTGTATTTTGGCGATTTGAGATAGTTCAAGGATAACTTGGATGTGTATATATCTGCTGTGTGCTGACTTGGGAGCTCTCTCACACTTTGGTGGTTTAAGAAAAATATCAGGAATCACTGAGTGTCAACTAGACTCTTTCTCTTCTCAACTAAACTTTGCACTTCCTTCTGTCTGATACTAGCAACATGCCCCACTCATTTGCCTGGGTTTGCAAGGACATCGTCAAAAAGCTTCAAGGAAAAGATCTGAAGCCTGTCAAACGTCTGTCAGATGCAATGAAATTCCACCAGTTTGAGATATTGCAGAAGAATCCTCAGTCACTGTTTTGGAAATCTGAAGATACTCCAGTTGGATATTCCCTCCTACAGATCTTAGAGCCAAATTGTCCAGTTCCAGGTACTGTCAGCCAAGGGACAGAGAAGTGTAAAACTGAGCATTTTCAGTGGTGCAGCTTTCCAGAACCTATGAGGTGTTCAGACAGGTAGCTCATGAGCCATCCTGCTTAAAGGCAAAGGACAAGGAAGGTCCTTTAGGAATCCACTCATTTTCTGGACCTTTCCTTGCATCTGGTCATATAACACTTCCAAGAGCCTCTTTAGATGGAGATATGATACCCATGTTACAAAAAAGTAATTGGAGTTCCTAAAACAGCTTTTTCAAAGTCACACAGTTCAAACTGGTAGAACTAGGATCCAGACAGAGGTCAGTCTGTCTGCAGGTCCCATGTATTTTTCATTTTCTGCCAGCTTCTCTGGGGCTGCATTTGGTTCTTGGAAAGATGATCTTAGGGGACTCCTAGACACTGCACACATGATGCTATTCTTTTTTAGGATTAAGACTATGCTTTTATTCTTTCTGGAATTTGCCTTCTTTAGTAGTTTATATTTCAGATACTAATTATTATTATATATTATACATATAATTATTAGCTAGCTTCTTGCCTAAGGTTTAAATGAGGAGGGGGACTGGCCTTGTATTTCCCATTCTCCAGCGCAGCTTTTCCACAGTGAATTCTTGACTAAACTTCTGTCCCCTTTCCTCTTCAGAGCCTGAAGTGTCATCTCCCATCCCCCTGAAACACACTCTATCCTGGAAACTAAAGGCTAACACAGGTGTCAACGCCGCCATTGTAGAAGGAAGTGCATCAACTGGGTTTGGTCAGTCCTGTGGATATGACATCGAGGTTCAGTGTACTAGCATTCCAGATTCAAAACTGGAAAGTCTTCAAAACAGGTGAAAGGATGGATCAGCAATGTTTCAGGATGTGTTGCTATAGGCAAAGAGGCATCAAGCAGGGTTTATGACAACTCACATTATTCTACTTTTTTTTATAAGTCACTGAAATAATGGCTTAGCGTTCCCTAATAATACTCATTAATACAGAATTATCTTTACTGTTCTAGTAATGTGGTGGAGACAGAAAAACAAGACAGACAAAGGTTCTGATCTGATAGAAGTTTCTGTTCGTTGTACAGAGGATGGGCATGTAGTGAGGAAAGAATCACAGAAGTAAATGGGAAGAATATTGATTAAAATTTGATGAAAACTGTAACAATCACTTTAATACCCCAGCACTTTGGGACTTAGTTGACCTCTAACACATCCCTTTTTTTAACTTTATATTTTTATTTTATTTTCCATGAGCCAGTATAACATTATCATGTCCAAAACACAGGTGGAGAAATAGTGATTGAGAGAAGTGAAGTAATTTATCCATCAAACAGCCAGGGAGGAACAGAACCACTATTTAAACTCATCTGAGTATTATGCAAAGGCAAACACTGCTAGCCACTGAGCTGTCTGCTTATGTCATATAAACGTAGTTACAAATTCAGTTGTTTGTATTTAACCACTATAGTGAAACAGTTGATGCTATAAGAGAAAGTATCCAGTTCACCAAAATGTCAGACTTTCTTACTGTAAAGAGTAAGGTGGAGTCAAATGACGTTGTAAACCAAGCATTCTGTATAGTCTATGATGCAAACAGTGTCAAAAGATGCTACATACCATAATTGCTACTCAAATATTGCTAGGTTCTTTTCTCTAGAAATTTCCTGAAATTCTATACTTCATATGTAATTGTTTTCAAAGGGCTAAGGTAACACAGTGGGGGATTTATATTAGGAGATAACGCAAATACGGATTGGGCAGTTATTTATGGAGACTTTGAAAACAGAGGTAACTTTTGGAAATAGAAGGGAACTCATGTTCAGACAACCCATTACAATGATTTTCTATCACATCTCTTTTGAGGTATAATTTAGAAGTAGAAATGCATGTTTCATGTGCAGCATTTTGGTGTCAGATATGCATATAAGTATAAGTCAGTAATATATTATCACTGCATCTGGTAACCATTATATCAAATATTTCTTATTATATTTATTTATATTCTCTCTCTCTCTCTCTCTCTCTGTGTGTGTGTGTGCGTGCGCGTGCGCGCGTGTGTGTGCATGCACACCCTCATGCCATGGCTCAAATGTGGAAGTCAGAGGACAATTTTAGGAGTCAGATCTCTCCCTTTGCCGTGTGTCTGGGAATCAAACTCAGGTCAGCAACCACCTCTACATGCTGAGCCATCCTGCCAGCTCAGGAACTGTTATTGTTATGACAAGAACATTTACTGTCTACTGTCTTAGCAGAGTTTAAGCACATGTAGCATGTAGTCAACGATAACCACATCGGGCTGTAATG